TTTCATTAAGGAATATGAAAAGGAGATTCAATACATCATGGTTGGAAGCCTTGATTGGAACCTAAATAAAACTATTTTGCATTTGTGTTCCTGATGTGATATATTACACAAGAAACCAGGCAATGAAAACATAATACAAACCACACTGGATCTACTAAGTCAAAGTGCACTAATCTAAAATCATAATTGCATGGGATTTTATTTTATTTAAGTGTAAAATTCATCCAGCTCCTCAGTTCTGATAAAGTTTTGATTCTGGCAACTGCCCCTTTGGTTTTAGAAAGTAAATTGATCTTCCCTCAATCAGTAACATATATATAGGGTGTCCCCCCAAAATGTATACACATTTTGAATACCATTATTAATTCCAATGGGTTAAATCGGAAAAGAAAGAAATATCAACTGAGCTATCAGCTGTTAAAGTGTATATAGATTTTTGGGGGATACCCTGTATAATACTAACTCTCCAGGTCTTTGTCAGGGATATGAACTCAGACTATCTCCTGTTCTGTTCTTATAAAGGTCTTCTGAGAAAAGAGTATTTAAGAAAGTTCATCTAAAGAACAGGGTACCTCTAGTTTAGGTACTTTGAGTTCAGTTTTTAGATCAAGCTAGATCAGTGGAAGTATACATTAATGACCACATAAATACACCTTCTATAAACATCTGTCACCAATTTCAAAGTTATATTCCTAGGCTTCTTTAAACTTGTTATAAGAAAGTTATATAAAACTCTCTTTTAATTTTTGATAAAAATATTGCTGATATTATTCAATGCATTGCTCAATGTAACCTTATATGAAAAATTTCTTCAACAATTTAGTGTCAGAAATATTTTTCTCTTGATGTGTTTCTTTCCTTTCAATAATAAAAAATTTTCTTAATTTCCTTTATTATCCTTGCTGCCAGAAAGTACAAAGCCAAATTTGCAGCTCTATCAGAGCTAGTGTAAGCAATATGTAGAACATATTTGCATTTATACCTTTTCTTGAATTTGATTCCTATTTTATCAATTTATTGTATATTTTTGGGGAATCTACTTGTAGAGATAGTATAGATAAATAAATTTACTTCATATCCCAGGAAGAGTCTGTTCAGAAGACTGTAAGTTGATCCCCCAACATGAAATTGATTAATCTTAAAAATGATTTCGAAAGACTAATTGCAAAAACTGTTTTAAAATAAAATGGGCTCAAAAATGTTATCACTTACTCGTTTAACAATATGAACCAGTCTGTATTGTATATCCCAAAAAATTATACAATAAAAATAGTGTTTTAACATAGTTATTATCTGTTAGTTGTAAAAACTTTATCTCTGGTTTTTAGTATATATATCATTATGTGTTATAAAGCTTAACAGAACCTGCCATAGAAGCCCAGAAAAATTATCTCCAGCATTCTGATCAGTTATAGAAGATGCAGAACATCTTATAGAGGAGTAGAGAAAAGATCATATTTTGGCCAATAAAATGAGACAGAGAATGAAAGTTAGGGACAAAAGAGTAACAGCTTGTTCTTCAGCAGTACTTTTTGCTGAGGTAGAAGGAAAGATTAATTAGATTGATGTTCTTTGTTTTCTCAGCTTAACCAAACAAAAAAATGTGCATGGGGCCCTTCAAAACAATACATGACAGGAAATGGGTCCACAAATGCCAATAGCTGTGTTTATCTAACTAGTTCATTTACTAGTTTAATGACATTGGGCAGCCCATCATGTATGACTCAGTTGACCAATAAAAGAATTGTTCTAGCAATACAAAGATAACCTAGGTATAACTTTGAGTGCCTCCATAAATTAATCAAATTACCATGCATGTGCACCCATGTATAATATCAGGCATAAAGAACTTGGTTCAAGCTAGGGGATATTTAAACAATGATAAAAATCATCCATGACTAGCCATACTGGCACTGTACTTCTTTAGCACATTCATGCTTACAGCCATCACACGCCTCATCGTATGACACTGACACGTATAGGAAGGACTGCGGTCATGTTGCTGTTTTACTAGCTCTGCAATGTAACGTATCTGCTGTGGGTCTCAAGCCCACAAATATATTCCTTCTGACTTTGTTTTCACATTGCACAGGACACGGAAGACAGACTGTACTGATCTCAGACACAAAGATGGGGACAAATCTGAATACATTTCCTTCACACCATAATTTAGGCCAAAAGGATTGCAGAATAAAATTTATGATTCCAGAAAAACAGTAACAGAAAATAAATATTTGAATGAAAGACAAACTTTTGCTGTAAGAGCCTTTTTTTCTCTTAGAGATCAATTAACTTAAAAACGACTGTGCCTTTGTACCCTACAACTCTAAGAAAAGCCTACAGAGAAAAGCCTAAGTACATGAAATGCTCCATTTGACAGATAATTTAGAGTCTAATGTTTCATTCCTCCTTCTTTCCCTGTTATTCGTCAAATATCTACCAAGGTGCAAGCAATACAATGAAATTTGATGACACACACTGTTTATGCTCGAGTAGCCCGATTGAAGAACATTAACATAGGAAGAATGTTCTTATGGTTATCTTCTGATACCTTTAGGCTGATATACACTTATCTTCTATTTATATAGCCTTGATGTCTGGTTTTCTGATTTTCTATAAATTCTATATATTCATAGGGTTTTAAAAAAATTCATCTTTAGGTATACATAATCCTAAGTATATAGGAAGGACAATAGGACCATATAAAGAGATTTATTTGAGTTTGGAATCTGGATTTTGGCTTAAAAAAAGTCATAAGATTCTGTTAAAATGGCTCTGACAAGTCTTGGTCAACAGTTACCCTGAGGAAAAATTTTTTTTTTGAAAGAAAGAGTATAACCAATATTCTCATAAAATATGAGTATAAAGTAGAATATAGTATTATTAAACCAGTTTTAACATTTCATTAGTGAGGATTTCACTTTTTAAAGGCTGTATAATAAGAACAGTTTAATCTCATAACAAAGTTTTTACTTCATTATTGTTGCCTTTTTATTTTTGGCTAAATTGTTCTTTAAAGTGAGTAAACAAAAAACTGATACTATGTATTAAATAACTTCAAGTTCACATAATGTTATTTTACAGCATTAAGTGAACTATTGTACAGAAACAAAGGGTAGATGCAATGCTCTCTAATCCAGAGTACATTGTGTCCCAATTATAGAGGTGTTTTTGGGGTTACTGCTAGAGAGTGATTCAATTTTTGGCAGCCTGAGCCCACACTTCACTGTGGATCCCAACTCCTGTATCTGTTCAGATGAGCCATTGGCCAAAGGAGTGTGTAGGAACATTAAACAGTATCTATTTGCTTTCTTTATGGTGATTTTTAAGACTGGTCACACATACCTCCTTACACCTTCCTCCCCTCCTTCCTTTTCACAGATATTTTTGAGAGCTATCTGTGTTAGGAACAGGATTACTGTCATTTAAGAATTCATAGTCTAGTGGAGTTGAGATACAAGTAAATCAAAAATTCTAATATAATACAGTAAGTGTTATGATACTGATACCATTGTACTTAACCTAGTTATTAATAACAGGAAAGGAATAAAGGAAAGGCCAGGTATTATAGGCATGGCATTGGGGCAGCTTTGCCAGGAAGCCACAGCTTTACACTCCCCAGGGAGCCATCAGTCCATTCCCGCAGGTCTCCGGGGGAAGGGGCTGGACAGGAGGGAGGGCGGACATGCCCAGCAGAGGCGGGAGCGCTGGTGAAGGTGCCTGCTGTCAGCCACACTGAGCAAAGGGGGCATGGGCCAGAATGGGCACGGCCACCGCAGGGGCAGGAAGCTTTGGGATACTTAGTCTCCTAAATAAAGGAATTCTTTCTCTTGGTTCTCTTGGGACTCTTGGGACTCTTGTTGCAGGGGGTACATTCTCTTGACTTCCCCGCATCTGCCGCATTGTCCGCAGCCCCGCGGACGCCACACACTTTGGACTAATGAACTTCAAGCAGCCGGACGCTGAGCTGGCCGCGGCTGCACCATGGAGCGGAAGCTGGACACTGGCTTTGCTTTAGCTCTACTGAATCCCCGTCTACACTTCTTCCAGGGTTAAGGGAAATGGGACTTTGGAAACCCAGACATGGAATTCCACACAAATAAAAATCACTCATCCTCCCGTGCGAGTCTCAGAAAATTCTTTTTCTTGAGAGATTGTAAGGACTCCACCCCCCCACTCAGTGGGGAAAGGGAAACCCTAAATCCCCTGATAATAATGCCATGAAAGCTCAGAAGAGAAACACCTAATCTAGTTTATGGGGATTAGGGAAGGCAATTTAAAGATTATACCAGACGCAAATACAGAGTTTTGCATGCACGTGTGAACACATTTTTAGAATGCATTATTCACTTTTCAGAACTAAGACAGTGTGATTCAGCGTTGGCTGATATGCCTGTCTCCAGCATAATGAAAGAAACATACTGTCTCAGTTGGAAGTTAATATTTCTAAACAACTTGACTTTTCTAGAAGAATGATGCTACATAATTTTAAGATATTAATGCTTTTTAAGTCTCTACTATATTTTCAACAGCTGATTATAGTCAATACCAAAGGGAAACTTTCATTATATGCATGGTAGAGTGGAAGGCATATCACATTAGCTAAAAAAAAAGCGAGCATTCGTCCTGGTTTGGCGGTTCATAAACCGTGTGATTTTGACCAAGTCAATTAAACCTCAGCTCCTTCATTGGAAACATGAAGAGGCTGAGCAAGGTGATTTTAGAGTTTCGTTTTAGATTTACACATCTGACTTTTCTAAATATTACAATTGACATGAACACTTTTAAGTAAGTCTCAAGACAATAGTTTTTAAGCTTCCACTCTGAGAAAGTACTTAGAAATTATTTATGTTTTCCAGCTCCCTGTAAAATTTGACTTTGTCCTACTGGTTACACAAGCAGCTGCCATCACACCAGCCAAGACCCGTCAGACTGGTTCTGCTTAGATCACCGGCGGTCCCTTTCTTCGCCGTCCACCGGGAAGCTGCTGAGGGAGCCTGGATGCGCCGACTGCAGATCCGCGGACTCCTCCTTGCTCCTCAGCAATGCATCCGTGAGTTCCCTTTTTTCTTTTTGGTCTTAAGTTAACTTGTAGTTTAAAATGAGACATAAGGCATGTATAGATGTCTGATTTATTATGTGTTTAGCATAGAAAAATCCTTTTGATATTTAACATGAAATTACATCAAGAAATAGATTTCTATTCTTTCTGTATTAGTGTTTCCTGTTCTCTTATGTCCCACCCAAAAATGTTTTTCTATGTACTTTTAGAAGGGTTCAACAAAAGATAAATGTATATACTGTTTGCAAGCTGTCTTCTAGGGATTTTTGTTTGTTTTTTAAGAACAGAACATGTTTTTAGCTTGGGCTTTGTCTTATCAAGAAAATACTCTTATTTTCAAAGGTATACATGATGAAAAATCTGAAATCATGCAGATCCAAATTACATTTATTTGTGTAAGTAAATAGTTTAACTTTTAAAAATTGAAGATGTTTCGAAAGAGTGAGAAATAATTTAAGAAGACAATATGACTAAAACTATTATAGCTGGATTTAAAAAATAAATCTAATGATGTACCTGGCCACAACCAGCTTCTCTAATAGATGAGTCAAAATTATTTTGAGGCTGTTTTCTTTCAAAGTCAGAAACTAAATGGTATTCAGGTTTCAGTGTAATAAGTTTATAGGGAAGAGAAGAATCTATTACATACAGGGGCAGGCAAAAGGAGGTTTACAGTTGTGAGTACACAGTTTATTCTTGAACAGTACTATTTATTAAAATTATTGTATTATTTTCCAGACAAACAACTATAAACCTACTTTTGCCCACCCCTATATATATATTGATGATGGGGAGGTATGCTAACTGTATTCATTAGCAACCACTGATAAGAATTAAAGGTTAGCAGACCAAATTTATAAACATTAATATTTATACACATTTAAATAGATGAAGGTCAAATGAGCAATATTCAAATTATACATCATGGACAACTTTAATTTTTACTTAGTAAGGTATGACTATCTCTCATGTGTGGCCCATGGACCTAGTGCATTAGATTCACTAGATGCTTATTAAAAATAGAAAAGTCCAGTTCTCGTGCCAGAAATTCTAATAAATCTCTGGTTAAGGCATGAAAAATTAATTTTTAGAAGATACACAAAGAAAACTTCATCAAGAATAAGTTTATAGGGAAGAGATTTGAGTAGAGAAGAATCTAAAGTTTGAGAAGAATTGATAAAGTGTAAAGCCATAAAAAAGAAAGGAACTGGTAAGATATAAAGAAATTAAAGCAGAAATCAAATCAGTTATCTATTAAAGAGGTAGCCCTTTATTTTATTTAAATTGGTATAATTATATGTTAATGAGAGGTGCTCTCTCCCTAGTCACCTTTTCCTCCGGAGGAAAAGAGGACCCTTTTATGCAGCGTAGTGATGATTAAGGAGGCGAAGATAATTTAAGGAGGAATGTGAACTGAAGGGAGGATACTGACATTGGGTAGTTTGTGTTAAACAGGGAGCATGGTCATTTTCAGATTAAAAATATGTTTGTTTACAGGGAAAACCTTGATATAAAACTAATGCAGTAATATCTCCCCTGAAATTAGTCAATAGATAGTGATGCTGAAGGGCACTCTATTGAGAAGTAGGTGCAGGATTGTTATATGATCGTGCTCCTGAGCCTCACTTCTTCAGCTAAGGTCAGTCCTGGTCCATATAACAACCTGTAGCAAGTTCTCATGGAGTATTCAGTTCTGAGTGGAAGAAAACTATCTGTTGAGCACCTATTATGTATTGTACACTTTGTAAAATGGTTTCTCATTTAATTTAGACAATACCTTGAAAAGTAGTTATTGTGATCACTGTTTTAAAAGATGAAATAACAGCAGCTCAGATTGTCCAGGGTCAGTTAAGTGTTGAGTCTAGAATCTGACTTTGGCCTTTCTGGCTCTCAAGTCTACACTTTTCTATTGTAACACATTGTCTACTAGGTGTGGGGACCTAAAAAAAAGTCTTTGGAAAGTTTGAAGTCTAACAGAGAAATGGAAAACATACACACATGCATATCCACACAGGGAGAAAAGGTATATGTATGTATACCCACACATGCCTATGTGATATATAGGCAAAGAAACAGATCATATACAGATTAATGTGAAATAATGTACATATATGCTTAAGAAGGAAGGGTGATGATATAATTTTACTCTTATTGACCTGTTTTTAAAAACATTTTATATTTTTATTATTTTTTAAAATTTTATTTTTGTTTAAAATATTACAGATGTCCCTTTTTCTCCCCAATGACCCATTCCACCCCATCCCATCCCATCCCTCCCCCCAGTGCCTCTCCCCACCATTGTCCATGTCCTTGGGTTGTGCATATAAATTCTTTGGTTACTCTCTCCCCCTCCCCCACCCGCCCTCCTCCATCCCTCTGACATTCGTCAGTNCATCAGTCTCATTTTAAAGAATTCATGGACTGCCCTTATTTAATTTTCTTAAAACTGTCTTTGTATTTAAACAAGATAAGAATATGACCTAACTTTCCCACCCTATCTCAAAGGTGATCAGTGACTGAGAGTATAGCACTTGAATTACAACATCACTATTTCATAAAAAGGATTGCAACATTTGCTATTGTGTAAAAATCAAGTTCATCTTAGTGCAGCATTTCATGGAAGGAATTCATTAGTCTGTAGTAACTGTAACTGTGTGATAGGCCTTTGTTGTTTTTTCATTGCTGGTCTGCTTTCCTCCAAAAATATGTCATTGCTACACTATAAAAAGGGAATAAACAGAGAAGCTCAAGAAGCAACAGCAACATCATGTGCATCAATATCAGCACCGAAGTTTATAAGGTGTGTGTATGATCCTGATGTTTTAGTGCTTGGGAATGAGGTGAGTTGGGCAGTTGTGAAGCAGGTCTTATAAGACGGTAGGTGCTGAAATGGGTACTCTGGCTGCATTTCTTAGCTTTGTCAGGGTTAGGATCTGGAAGAGCTGTACTAAAAACTTCTTGAAGCTCAGTTGTTTGAACACATTCTGATTGAAGATGGTGAGTGAAAATTGTGAAGAATGCTCTCATAGTTTTGAGCATAATTTAATAGGTTAAAAATGAGTGCATGAGAGATTAGGAAAGTTTTAAGAGATTGAGAAAGAAAAACGGGCTTCAGAGACACCAAGTCACGCCAAAACCTGCAAGTTCAATCTCCCAGGCACATGCATCACCTGTATGGTTGAGCAATTTCTGAAATATTTAGAATAGTAACTCTGAAGTGGTAGAACCAAGCTTCGGGGAATTCAAAGTACCGTGCAGTATCATTAAATGCTATCTTGCACCCTTTCATCTGGAGTTGTCAGATTATATCTTTTTTTTTGAAGCCACAAAAGCAGATATGGAAGAATTTAGCACTTTGTTTAAAGTCAAACTATGAGTCAGTGCAGAAGAAAATAATTGTTATCATTTGTTTCACATGCACTACTTTTCTAAAACATCAGGCACATTTAAACTTTATGAAAACATATGGTTATGTTATTATACTCATTTTACATATGAGAAAACTGAGGCTCACAGGTAACATTATTTGTCCAGAGGCAATAAATGGCAGAACTGGGAATTAAGCCAGGTCTATCTGACTCCAAACCTATGCTCTTATTACAGTGCTATACAATCTTTATAGTGTCTCCTTTATCTACTCAGGTGGTTCTACTACTATGCTGATTTAACTGTTGAGTGTTTAAAGACATAAAAGTTAAATTTGCAAGGAACAACTTTATTATTCAATGAATAATCTTCTAAATAGACCTCTGAGGCTGGTAGACAGGAAGACTTGCTGTCTGTGTTCTATAAAGTAAGGGATAAAATATTCAAAAATTAGGTAATTTTCATGTGGCCACAGGAACAAGTGAGTCAATCAATATTAGAGATAAAATCTGCCCTCCCAGTTCACCTGTGTACTGAGTACAATATTGTCAAGTGGAAAAGTTAAATTAACACAGGTTCTACATGACCCAAGAAATATTGTTATTGCTATTCCCGCTTGGATTTGTATAGAAATATGTGGCCTTTTAAACACTAGGTATTGCAAATTAAAGCTTGTCAGGTCACACTTAGTAAAATTCAGAGAGGGTACATATAGCAGGAATACATATATTCATATATATATATGTATATATAATACATATATGCTCTTTATACATAAGTCATATATACATATAAAATTTGGTACCTATCAACAAACCTGTGAGGCAGGCAATGTTAACCTTACCATAATTTTATAGGTAGAGAAATCAAAGATTAGGAAGGCTGAGACTTCCGCAACTTTGAGTAAGTGGTTGATGGAGCTGGAGTTGGAACATTCATGATCTAACTCCAGGCCTGTACTTTTAACGCTTCCTGCTGCCTCCTCCATACCATGATGGCTGGAATCACAAGGGCTCCTTTCATTAAGCAGAGCTAACTTTCTTCGTTCTTAAAACAATTAGCTTAATCTCAGTGTCTCAATTTTCCTAATCAAGAGAATACCAAAGATTACAAGTAATACATCCAAAACAAACAATCTTTCAATCTATATAATACATCCAAGCCTTAATGAAGCACTTGGGCATATATTACTGAATTTGAAGCAAATATAGATTTGGGCTTCATAAGTAGAGTTCGAAATCCTTGCACTAAACTCTACTTCATGGCTGACCATTGGCCTAACTGACAGGTTCCTAGAGACAGGCAGGTGCAAAGATGAGTGGTTTTCCACATTTTCTTTACCGGTTGAATCCCTTTTACACATCAGGCCTAATGCAAAGCCCTGCCGTATGGANATTTTCTTTACTGGTTGAATCCCTTTTACACATCAGGCCTAATGCAAAGCCCTGCCGTATGGAGCAGAGTTGCTAAGGGTGGAGTGGGACTAAAGCTTCGAGCCTCACCTGCTCTGTCTTCTCCTTAACTCCTCAGGGACACATAAAGCAACTTGAGGGAGTTTTCAACCCACTTTAAAACAAATTTGTTTCTCGTTATGAAGGAGGAATGATGACGAAGCCAACATTTGT